AGGGCTTCAGGAGTTTAGGGTGTAGTGCTTTTGGTTTAAATAGGGTTCAGGGCCTAAGGTCTAGCGTTGAGGGCTTCAGGAGTTTAGGGTGTAGTGCTTAGGGTTTAAATAGGGTTCAGGGCTTAAGGTCTAGGGTTGAGGGCTTCAGGAGTTGGGGTTTACCCTAAACCCGAAACCCTAAACCCTAAACCCTAAACCCTAAACCCTAAACCCTAAACCCTGTAGTGTGTAGGGAGTTTAGGTCAAGGGGGTGGCGGGCTCTCGGTGTGCAACGCTGGCTCACACTCGGAAACCGTCAAGCCTGAACTATTAAACCCTGGGTTTAGGGTTTAGGGATTAGGGCTTAGGGTTTAGGGTTTAGGGATTAGGGCTTAACCCTCAACCCTGAACCCTAAACCCTAAACCCTAAAGCGGAAGCTTGGCAGAGCGCTCCAGGGAGATAGGTGGTTAGCGGGCCGGAATGCTTACAGGATCACGGGATGTAGTTTTACATAGGCCTTAGGGTTAGGGTTGAGGGTTTAGGGCTTAGGGTTTTAGGGTAGACTTAGTAAGTGAGGTTACCCTTGCGCTCCAAGTAGTCTAAATTCTCTAAGTAGATATAAGTAGCACCTGCTTTCGAGCATGAGGAGCACCAGGGTTATTAGTCCCTTGGTTGGGGTTATAAGTGAATATAAGTGTTTAGGGTTTAGGGTTTAGGGTTTAGGGTTTAGGGTTTAGGGTTTAGGGTTTAGGGTAATATAAGTATAGTTGCCTTGTTTATAACTCTAGTTACTATGTCCCATGATCCTTTAGGTGGGGTATACCTGCACCGCAATGCCAACAAACACCTCTGCGACGGTAAGAACGCATGTGAGGTGTGGACCTGCAAAGGAGTACCCAGAGACTCCAATACCCCTTAATTAAGGAATATACCTTAAATCTTATTTGGGATCCTACTATAATTTAAGGTATATTCCTTAATTAAGGGGTATTGGAGTCTCTGAGTGTCTGGGCGTTCTCCTCGAAGTGCCTGCAGCGTTCCCGCGAAGCCGAGAAATCCGCCAACCAGCTCACCGGAGCTTCGACAGAATCGAACCTCCAAAACCCTAAACCCTAAACCCTAAACCGGATCATCTAGACTAGCCTTCTGGCCTTCTAGTTACAAAGCCTGAACCCTAAAACGGCCTAAACCCTAAACCCTAAACCATCCAACCCTAAACCCTAAACCCTATTGTAGTCCTATGAGGAGGGACTGCTGCTGATCAAGATGTTGACAGCTAGCCACGTGGCAAGCTTCAAACGTTTTTAGGGTTTAGGGCCCTGCTATCCGATTCCCTAATCTAGGACATTTTTAGGTGGGTAGTTACCGCCATAGGAGTCTTATAGAAGGTCTATATACCTCATGGAAGCCTTATAGAAGCCCTAAAAACCCTAAACTCCCCACCTGGAACTTCCTTTACCCTAAGCCGAATCTAACGCCAATCTCGAATTGTGGGAGAACCCCACACCCTGAATCCGAGACCCCAGAGCCCTACACCCTACCTTCACCTACCAAAACCTACTTTTTTCGTAGGGTCCCCATAAATTCCATATTAGGGTTTATAATAGGAACCTGCAACAAAGAGTAGGGTTTGGTAGTTTAAGGTAGCGGTTTAGGGTTTAGGGTTCACCTCCGGCAAAGGCCCCTATATTCAGTGCAAGTGGGGGTTTGGGGTTTAGGGTTCTATACCCCCCCAAACCCTAATCTAATCATTAAGGGCCCCACAGGACATAGAACCCGTATAGTAACCCTTGTTGAGCATCCTTTCTAAGGAACCCCGTTGAAACCTCCTGCACTCAGCTGTCTCACCGAGGTTACCTCTGGTCCAGGAGTCGCTAGGCTTGAGTTTACAAGGGCTGAGGATTTAGGGTTTCGGGTTTATAGACAGTGTTAAGGGTTTGGGTGCCAAGAAGTTTTGAGCGAAGCATTTTCTGGGCTGGGCTGGGCTGGGCTGGGCTGCTGCTGGGCTGG